TTTATTTTCAGTGAAATTTTTTCCTTTCCTATCAAGATAATCACATAATAACAAAGCTTCCTGCAGAATATGTAAATGCCTTACCTTGTTCATAAGAATTTAGCTTAAAATATATTATGCATCTGTAATTGCTCCCTTCCAATAAACAGAAAATGATGCAACTTGTCTTTGCTATGGGCCCCATCTGAGCAAAACAATTCATTGAATATACAATTAGAAATCAGCAGGAACCATCCAAAAGGTACTTTAGTGTTTTACTGAACACCAGCTTATTCATAAACCCAGAGATCAATTACTGCTGGTGCTGCTTTCATAAACTCACTCTGGATTCACTCACAGTAGTTAAATCCAGTCTAAAAGAAAAAAAAAGGGGGGGTTAAACTGGAAGGTGAAGACACCAAATAACACAATATATTCCAGGTGGTCTGAGTGCTAAAGGTTCACTTGCCTTGGAGGGTCCCAAATAGGATAAACATTCAGCTCAGCAGAAACCTGACCCACTCCACAGCAGCAGGGACTACACATACATTAATTTAAGATGCAGTTTTAATGGGCTCTTCTGAGACTTGCCAGGGATTTAAAGTGTTTCAGTGCAAGGAGCAGGCTGGTCTCCAACGGGATGAGCTGCCATCATTTCCACTAAGGCCAGCACTTCTGACTGTGGAGCAGGAGAGGGCTCAACACACCATGGGTAATTATCTGGGATCTGGTCTGCAATCCAGGAGCTGGTCACTGAACTGCATCCCCTGGTCCTGAGCCCCGGTCAGGGCAGCACCGGTGGGTCCTGGGCAAAGCCACAGCAGAGTGGTCACAGCCAAACAAACCACCACCAGGGAAAAGGCTCAAACTTCTGCTCTGCCCTGCACAGCTTAACCCTACAGACACAGCTGGAGTATTTTCACAGTCCTGCAGAGACCTCAAAATGGCCAGAAAAATCCTGAATCTGGTGGTGCCTGTCTCTCCTGATTGTTGAGAACCTACCCAACCATTTTCAATTAGCAACACTCCTTTTTCTTTTTTTTTAGTAACAGCTGAGAAGACAGTGTGATTCATTTTAAAGTATATGCATTAAGCTGAAGAGGCTGAATACACTAGGGCTCAACCTGCTGTAATAAAAACTAATGAAAATGAATAACCAGGGAGGAATGAGTAGCTGTTTAAGTTCTCATTGCTGCCAAAGAAATATCAGCTAGGGAGGACAGGTTAAGCCTCCTGTGGGGTATTTGCATTACACTTAGGAAAATGAGTTTGCTAATATTCAACAAAGAGACCACTAAGTCTTTTACTAATTGTTCTGTTAAAAAACTACAAAAAGTCAAATATATGATAGATTCCAAGAGACAGAATATGGGAATTCAAGGAAATAGATGTTATTTTACAACCAGCACTTTGAAAAATGCATCCTTTGTCCATCCTCTTTCTCTTCTCCAGTGATGGAATTACCAATAACTAAAAGAAATAGTATTCCATTTGAAGCTAAGTGTTGTTGGATTTACCAACACTTTAGAAGAAAAGATGGTTCAAATGACAAAGTGTATTAGCTACCTTATAGCTGACTTTTTTAAATCCCAGTTATATCCCCAAGGTGAATGGTCATCATGAAGAATAGAGCAGAGATCCTTCAGGAAAATGTCTTGAGGCAAAACACAAGTCCAGATGATTCCAGAAGGAAATCTGATGGAACCACATGACAATAGGAGCAAGTCCCATTAGGAAGGTCACAGCACACCAGGACAGTCACAGCACTAAGAACTTCCCTCAAACAGCCATGGAGATGGGGAATAGGCATTTCTGGACAATGAATTTTGCTTACTTGGAAGTATCAGCAAATGGAAACTTCACCATACCATTTCACTAAAAACACAGTGACTAAAGATAATAGCTGGTTAGTCCATTTAATATATGTGTTTAGGGAGAGTGGCAGGAGAGTAGGGAAAGACAGATTCTTCATCATCATTCTTTGTTCCACTGTATTTCCTCTTCTGTTTAATCAGCTTCCCCTCCTCATTGCATTTTGCTTTGCTGCCATCCTGCAGAAAAGCATCAGTAAGTCCCAGGGAGTCCCTTTTTCACAGACACTGCCAGATGAAAATGTCCTACAGTTGCTACGCACTGAGGATCTTCATAAAGAACTGATACACTCCAATTTCTTTCACCACTAATTTGATCCTCCTTTTTTTTCTGTCAGCATCCAACTCTTCAAGAACTACCTGTCCTTCATATAACCTGGACTTCTTCCTATACTTACTAAACCATCAAGCTGAAGAAGTCAGAGCAGGCAGCAAATGGCGAGACACCATTCACCTCCTCCAATATCCTCACTTCTAGATCAAAAGTTTCCTCACTCCTTATTAATTGCAGGCAAGGGTGAGTCAGATCTTAAGCTAGTTTTCTTGAAGATGTATAAAGGAAGGGTTTTACATAACTACCACAGTTCAGGACATGGAGTTTAAAAAAGCAGATGCTTTACTTAGTTTCAGCTCTCACAGAGGTGCTAACTCAGCAGTGTATCTTACAACATTACTTTGAGGAAACTAAGAAAAAGACAAAAGCAGTCAAGTCAAAAAAACAGCCAATATTTCTGTATTCTACAAAACTTAAGCTGTAACAAAGGCTTAGTCCTATGTCTTTAGTAGCTGGTTCACCCCAAACTTGGTCCCTTCACTTCAGCAAAAATACAATGTTCATGAATAGGAGTCCTTAGCACTGTAGCAAGGTTTGTGGCAAAATTATAGATTTTTTATTCTCATGAACACATGCACATTTTCTCTATGATTTAATTTGCTGGTTTCTGTTTGCTTGTCTGTTTCAGAAGGAGATCCAAAGGCTTCATAATAAACAAGAAGGAAAAGTTTTACATAGTTTTGTTGCAAGTTCAAAAACTGATCTTGATTTACTCAAAAACAGACACAGCCCCAAAAATATTGCATCTAGAGCAATTTCAGTACCAGCTATCTTCCATGTACAGCTCTTACAGAGGTATTTAAATTATTCTACTCATAAATGTGGGGCAATGCTTCCTATGGAGGTGGAGCAAAGACTCTTGCACTTCTGTCTCTTGTCAGCTCTATGATAAAATTCATATGTAGGAACATTAGCATATCACTTGGCCAATCTGAATTAGTTTTTATTGAAGATGAATTGCAGTAGCTTTCAACCTGGCAAACATTTGTGCAGCTTTAGCTACACTATCAGAGAAATTTGGGGACTGACAGTGGAAACAGAGACACTAGAGTAGGGAATTTCACTAACAAAGTAAACATTAAGATTCCAATTTACTTCAAAGAAAATACAGCAACACAAGCAGTAAGATTTGATTAAGGACACTGCCATCAATAGACTGGAATCAACTGATAGGTAAATGCTGGATGGATACAATCCCTCGCACCAAAGTTTGCCATGACTGTGAGATGTTGATTCCTCATGGTTCACACTTAACAGTTATCCTCCTGGATTTGCTTGTGTCTATCCTTAAGCAGAACCATGGTCCTATTCCATGGCGTGACCTCCCTTTTGAAGGCGGTCACATCTTTACGCTCCTGCATGCAATGCCATATTTCACATCAATGATCCCACACATGGATTGCCCTCCTCCTGGATTTAGGCAAGACAAGCCTCACACTGGGCATGAATGGAGCATATTTACTACAGCATTTTTGTCAGGTAGTAGCCACTCATGTTCACAGCTGCTTGGTTTTGTCTTTTTGGCTGCTCTTGCCATGAAAGACTTGCAGTGCTCTCCTGCATCCCTTTTTATTCGCTGGGCAAAAGCCTGATTGCTGGCCAGTGTTTCCACAGACTGACAAGTCAGCCAGCTAAAACAGATTTTGCTCTCTCAATAGGGGCATTTATTTATCTTATTTCCTCAACTTCCAGTTTCTGGAAGTAATAGAAAAATATACACCCTTTAATCCTTTACTTCCTCATCAAAGGTGGTTGCCTTTGTAAGATGCAGTTATATTCACCATACATACATGTGAATAGAACCAGAATTATCAATTTCTCCAACAGCAGTCACACATCACACACAGCTTGGGTCTCTCCTGTTCCCATAATTTCTAGGAAGCTATCTCCTTGCAAACATCAGGACTGCAGACAGGGAGTCACAAGACCACAGTCTACAGATTCAGTCTTACAGAATTGTGGAATATAACATCTTCAGATACCCAGGACACTGGTTCATCATGAACAAGCCAGATATTATGAAACATTGGACAGAATTTTCCTACAAAAATACATGTTTTTCCCTTGTTCTTCTAATCCAATTATTTTCTCAAGGCATGGAAAAAAGGATTACCAAAGGGCTGGAGAATTGGCAGAGAGTTTCAAAACTGAATTCCTAAGTATTGATAAAAATACCAAAAAATGACCAGCAAAGAGGCAGTTCCCCCCTACTCTACTCGTTCCCTGCCACCTCTGAGGAATGCTGGCATCCTGCTGAAGTACCATTTTAGCACACCATATTTCAACTGTTGTTCTCACAGATCATTTCATCTATAAAGCAATAAAAAGTGCAAAACTTGATGTGTACAATAAAAACCATACAGGCACCTCTTCTTCTCCAAGAAAGGCAGCTCAGTAAAATTCTGCCATAACAAGCAGTAAGGAAAATAATTTACTTTCAAATCCTTCTTCACCAAGTACCCACATCAAAGATAAAACAAACATAACAAAAGGGAATGAATTATCAAGTGATGTTCCATCAGTGCTTTGACTGTACTTTTAACAAAAACATGGACAAAGATAACATGGGCTATAAAGGTACATTCAGATTTTATCAGAACAATATCTAGAACACTATTTAATCCAAATCTCCACGTTACCCTTTAGCATTGCCCTGTAATCCTATGAAACAGTGCCCGTTTTATGCTTGGAATATCCATATTCCAATTTTATTATGAAACATAGCTTTAAAAAGCAAAACATGATTTTTTTTCCCCCCAGTCTCCTATATCGATAGTCGAATTATTCATATTTAAAGAAGAGCCATGGATTTTGCCTTTTTTTTTTTAATTATGTCTATATAACTTGCAGCTGGTAGTCTACAAGGAGAGACATTATCAACATATGACAGGACATATGCCCCAAAATACTGGCACTTTGGAGCTAAAACAGCACAGTAAGTTGTTGAGGAAACCTGATGAGATTTGTTGCTTCAACACCTTGACTAGATTTTCAGCTACTAATGATGGAGGGATAAGAAAGAGAACACTGATCTGGATTTTTTAAGTTAATGGTGATAACACCTTGCAGCTGAAATTGCACCATGGACTGAGCTGGTATTCTCTTCTTGTCCTACAGGGCTAAACAAAAGCAAACAAACAAAGAGATTTCTCATTTACATGGCGATCACAGGACCATCTGCTGCCCAAGTAACAACCCAAAATAAAACAGTCCTTCAGGCGCAGTGCAGGCTGGAGCAGTGTGTGTGCAATGCGCACGCTGACATAATTCACCCACTGCGAGGAGAGAGGCTGACTTATGTAAGGGCAGGCCATCCTCTTTTTCTCCTTTTTTCTTGCTGGCTATGCAGCTTTTCAGTGCTCCCAAAGGCTGTTTTATTTTTCAGACTCTCTTTAACCAGAGACAATCTTGCGCGAAAAGTACAAGTCTTTAAGGCTAACGTAACAATCCGAGCAGAAGAGCCAGTCACACACAGAGAAACAATTTTCAAAGCTTCGACTCATTTTAAATGACACTTACATTCATTTCTGCAATTTTCCTGCTGTAAGCAAATGAAGAACCTCATTCTGCATTCCACTGAACCCCTCAAATCCCCTCGACAGTCAATAAACACCTGGAGTGCAAATGAATACAGAATTAATCCCTAAGGCTGGACAGTAAAACAGGTCAGGAACCATCCCTACTACAAAAGTCAGTGTGGAAATCTTGCAGCAGGTCATCTGAAACCAGGCTGCACTTCACTACTGGTTTTGTAACACATCTTATTTTCAGACCAATTTGCCTTATCCAGCTCTTGCCCACAGTACAACATTAGCACAGCTGTAAGTGCAATGAACTAAACTATCCTGATAAAACCTACAACAAGTAGGTCTATCCATGCCCACTAGCAGGGCATTCCTAGGACGTTCTTCTCACTAGATTCTTAGCACTTTCACTCTCCCAAGAGTCTTCAGAGGAGCCGGTGGTCCTCAGCTCTTGGGGCTTTTAAGCCTTTCCTTTTCCTTCCATTGGGAAAACAAAAAAAAAAGAAAAAAAGGACAAAAAAGGGAAAAGAAACAAAGAAAGTCAACAACACACATGCTCTCTCTCTCACACACACACACACACACAAAAACAGAGGCGGGGAAAAAAAGGAAAAAGGTAAGTTAAACAGGATGCCGATCTGGAATGAAATGGATTTTTGAACAGACAGTCATATTTGGCACTGTCAGCAAAAGCTTGTGAGTGGCCCTGTGTCTCCCCGAGCCTTAATGCCCTTTCTACATCGGTCATTTAAAAACGTCCCCGGAAAGTTCAGCTGTGCTACTTCTGACATCGTTTTCACACTGCTGCTGAATGGACTCGATGGAAAGACACACTTCGTCCCATCCCAGTTCCATAAAGCACTAAACATTAAGGACATATTCCATTTGGCCTTCAAGTAACATTTTTATGGTCCATGCAGATCTGCAATTACTTTCCCTTTAAAAACAATCAACATAAAACAGAACTCTCTGTTGGAGAGCACGGAAATTAAAAAACTATTGGATCTTCCAAACCGACTCCTACAATCCTCAGGCAGAAGGCTGGATTAAAGGGTCCTCACATGGTTCTAGCTGCATTCTCAGTACACCACTTTTATGAAGAAACCAAAGCTGTAGAAATTCCTCCGGCATGGCGTGGAATCCAGAATCAGGCAAGACATTGTCATAGTAATGATGGCTAATAAACCTCCCGTGCAGGTCCACCGAGAACGGCCAGAAGCCATAAATTGTTACTTCTTCACACAGACCAAGGGCGGCACTGACTAGGAAGAGTCCCGTGGAAAGCCGTTTGCCATGGATACCTTTGCTCTTCCAGAACTTGCCAATGTCACGCAGGAAATTGGGGTTGGCAAAAAGAACCGTCTGCTTGGCACTGAAGTCCGCCAGGGTGTAATAGACACGTAGGGAGGGTCCTGTCCCTGTCTTCATGGAGAAGGCTGGCATGTAGATGTAGCTGTGGTTATACACCTTCACGCTGTCCACAAACGCCTTTCGAGACCACAGCAGATTCTGGAACCTGTCAAACCACAGGGAAAAAGGAGTTGGTCATACATAGGTTTCCCTAATCGTCTCATAACCCACCTAAGAACAGCTCTTCATATGCATATTTACAATTAACCGCACACTTTTTCCGAGCCCAGAGAAAGTCCAGGCAAACTTCTGACTGACTGACACTGCCCTACTTCTGAGAACAGAAACCTGAATAGACAGCTGGAAACTATCTAACTCCTGCTGGTTCCAAAACCTTTCTGATTTCATAGTTTTAAAAAACTTTGAATGAACACTGGTAATATTCTAGAAAACTCGATCCTTTTTAGCGACATTTTTCCTTTGTCCGAAAACCAACTTAGATTTTGAGGCAGAGGAATTTTTTTAAAAGAAATTTTAAAGTCTGTGTTGTTCATGTTTCTGAAAAACATACTAACAAAGAACCCAAGTTATAAGCTGGACAAGCAATATTTAAATAGAAACTTTGGACTTACAAACCTTGTAAGACTTGTCAGAATTGCTTTTACTATGCCTCTATATAGATTTAGATTGTGCTACCATAGTAGTAAATTCTTGTTCTGGAACTGAGAGAAATCTCATAGAACATACTTAGTTACAAACAATAAAACAAATCAGTGAATTAGGGTAAGTGGCAGGCACCATGAAAATTTAGCACATGGCACCAAATAATATTCAGAGCTGGTGTTTAAGATGGCACAATTTACACACTGAGTAGATTTAAAAGCATGTGGTATTTGTAGCGTGCAAGTTACAGGAGAGACTTGTTGACAACCATGACAAGGGCAATGAATATGCACAGATTATTTCTCTGATATGATAATCATCTCATCTCTTGTTATAAAATCTACAGCAGGTTACAATTTGTTAAATTGCCAATAGCTATTTGCTGATGTCTATTTTATCCCTGATATGTTAGACTTACATACTATTCCACAACCAGTATCCTGTCAAAACTATAGCCTTTCCTTGCCATATGCTTCTGGATATGCCAAGATTGAACGAGAAATACGGCAGGAAATCCTAGGCCATTCACACACACCAAAACCTGCGCCAATGTTTGAGCTGTTCTGATGTCTTATACCAATGAAATCACATTTCAGAAAAATATTGAAGTATCCCAAATATGTATCACTGAATGTAGTTGGTAGGAAGGTCAGAGTCATGGTAAAACACAATACTTAAAGACCAAAATTTCTAAGTAGCAGAAACACTTGCTGTTCAGGAGTGTTGACTGCATTGATGGGTACCTTTGCATAAGAAAGTCACTATGATACACTCTTGATACTCTAGTTGCTTTTCAGATTCCACACAGTCTTAAGAGCGCCAGTACCCCACCTTTACCACTTAACAGTGTCTGTAGCCTTCAGCATGCAGGCAAAGCTTACTGCACTGAAAGCCACTTCTGCACGAGCCTCACACACTCCTTCCATTGCAGCTGGGTTGTTCCCTAGCATGTGATCCCTAGTTCTTCTCTCAGCTCCCAAATGTCCATCTTGCTGTTGTTGCTGCCCCCTCTCTCCATGTCCTGCAGCTAAGGCAAACGTGTCATGATTGATTTCTCACACCACAGGAGTCAGAACAAAAAAGTTAAGTCAGCAGCACTGGATTTATTTTCCTTTCTCTAGTAATGGCAGAGAGATAGGTATAAGAATACCTTTTTAAACTGTTATGAAGGTATCAACCTTATGTATAGACCTCTTTGAAACAAAAACAAGAATTGCACACACAGCAACATACACAGGTTTAAGCAGAATGCCAGATGACCTCAAGAAGCATCAAACAAAATTTCATCTGAAACAATTGCCAACAAGAAACCTAACAGCTTCAGCAGCATTGATATGACTCATACACGCCAGTTTTTTTGAAGTCTTTGTTTTGGAAAAAAAACTTAGTAAGTAGAAACAACATTTTCAACATACAGTATTTTGTCTCCTGGTTTGCTACAAGCTTCTTGCAAAATTTCCTTCACGTGGAATTAGAATGAAGCTGTGTTGAAGGAACCCCCCTGAAATCTGCCTGGGTCTTCACTGCCTTTTTGCTCTGCAGATCTGCTCCTACTGCATGGTGCTACTTGCCACTGGCTTCCAAGTGAGAAATCAAATCAACACAAATGTACAAAACAAAACAATAATTTCATAACTTATTGCATTTGGCATTCTTTTCTGTAGAAACAGCCAAGACACAGCTGAGTTTAGAAGGCCAGCCAAGACCAAGGTGCCCTGGCAGAAACTCACTGTCTGGCTGTACCTTCTCACATGGGCCCTCTCACTCCATTACTATCAGACCTGTAACTAAGCGTTCCCCAAAATAAGTTTTGCCATCCTCTTCCCAATAAGCAGCAATTCAACCTGACAGATTATCAGGACAGGACTTGGATCCATCCTATCAAGCTTCTTCCATTTCCATCAGGACACAGTCACTGAGCGCAAAAAAAAAAAAAAAGAAAAAAATCCCAAGGTTAATACTTTCAATATTCATAAAATCACAGAATGGTTTGTGTTGGAAGGGACATTAAAGATCACCTAGTTCCAATCTCCCTGCCATGGGCAGGGACACCTTCCGTTAGACCAGGTTGCTCAATGCCCCATCCAACTCGACCTTGATGAGCACTTTGTGCTCAGAGCCCAGTACCCAAATATTGTTCTAATAACCCTAATCACTTTTAAAAGGTAATAAGATCAGCATCAGGCTTTCAGACTATTGACCTCATCAGAATTTGGCAAGAGGTGAGCATTGCAGGCTCAAAATTCCTTTCACAGTAAAGAGATCTTGAGCTCACAGCTTGATGCGATGGGGTCCTTGCACCTTGGCTAAGGAGAAGGCAGAGACAGGTTCACTGTCACTCCTGAAGTCAGTTGCACAACATCCTTTCCCTCTTAAAGCTAGTCCACAAATTTCACTCCAGAGGGCAAATAGTTGTGGTTATTCTAAAACGGCATTTTCCAGCAAATTTACCATTCATAGAAAAGCAGTGCGCAGCTCTGAGTTGAACACATTAAAATTGCTCAGTCTCAGAGGGCCAGAGACTCTCTCTGAATATTCATTTGCTATCATTGCCACAACATGTTTACAATTCTTCTAGATGAATCTCCCCAAATGCCTTAAAGTAATGAGAGGTGAACAGCACTGCCATGAGAGAGGTGCATGGGAGGGACTCCACACAGAAGGGACAGCATTTGTCATGCTACTGCAAACTGTCCTTCAGAAACATCATCACCTCCTGGAAACCCATGCCTCATTCAAATGATCTGGATCGCAGTGTTGGTAGGCATCCCGCCCGGTTCAACAGATGGACATTATACAGGTGGCCAGGAGCCCGTGCAGAAACATAAAACATGATGATTACGGCTGGTCTGATGGTCTAACAGCCAAAAAGCTGCTGCCCATCTTGCACTCCTCGTGAGCAGAGATATCAGAAGCAAATGAAAATTTCTGTTCCCTGTTTGTAAAAACAGCAGTGCTCTCCAGCTTTCTGACACTTCCCAGGATGGTTAGAGGCTGAGAAATCTGGGGACAAATGCTGTGTGTAAGCAAGTTTCTAGAGATGGTGCTGGAAGCTCAAGTGTATTTTCCTGTAACTCCCAATCCAGACAGGGAGTCCTCCAGGCAACTCCCTCCAGCAGTGGCTTTGAGGGTACCACACCACATCTGTCCCAGCAGACAGTGAGCAGGCTACTCCATGCCTGACAGAGGAGGGCTCTTTCCCTGCAGCTGACCAGCTCTGTAGTGCATGTCTGAGCAAGATGATATGTTTTTCTCCTGCTTGTCCTGTCATGAATCAGAACAAGCAATGAATCCAGCAGCCTGATGCAGTCCTTGCATCCATACGGATGCACAAATGCCCTCCCTTGTGTCGATCCTCACCCAGAACGAGGAGCTGCTGGTTCCTAGCTAGTGCGTGTCTCTACCCAACAAGCTGTGAACATTCAGTACTCTCAGGGCACAGCCCAGCAGCTGTGCAGCTCCTACACACACACACACACACACACACACAGAGCTCAAAAGAAATGCATCAAATACTCCAGCCCCTCACAGAAGAGTGCATCTCGGGCGATGCTGTCCACCCAGCACAGCTCTGAGCAAGGAACAGCTGAATGGCTTTCAGGGTCCTCCCCTGACCTTCCGCAGTCAAGCTTGCACAAACGCATGGCAGGTTGCCAGCATTTTGATAAAACTGTAGCTGGAATCTCCCAAGCCCTGAGCAGCACCTGAAGACTCCAAGGGCTGCACGAGTTGCTCAGTGATTTGCAGTAATGCGTCCCGGCAGCTTGACGGCAGCCCAGAGAGGCGCCGACAACGGTGAACGCTGGGGAATCACGACAGCTTCAGCCCAGGCACTTTCTTTACACTGCACTCATTAGTGGACAGTGAACAAGTAAAATCATCAGCAACACATTTTTGCTGTCAGGTCCATATGAAAGGTCAACTTAAAAACCACAACTTTCAACAGCGTGTGTAGGCGCAGCCACGCAGATATCAGAGAAATAATTTCCCTGCTACCAGCTGTAGAGTTCCGTCGAATACGCTGCTCTACTTTTCCAGGGAGAAAAATTCATCCAAGAGAAAACTGCCACAGTACATTTTCGTGACAGTACAGTCAAAGATTAAGAGCATTAAGTGTTTTGGGTTTTGTTTTTAATCTGTTTTTAATGTCCTTATTGATGTTCTTTAGCAGATATTCAGGGACAGGACTACTCTCTGGTACGGAGAGACCACTTCCAGTAACCACACAGAATTTGCTGCAGTGACATTGAGCTAACCCACTTGCAGATAATTATGGCAGCATTTTCTTGCATCTTGGTTTCTTTTTGATCTCCCCAGAGAGTCACTATCTCATGCCTATGACGATATCCCAGGCACTTACTGTGTTGGCATCTGCAAAGTCACAAATTCAGCATTCTGGATTAATTGCGAGTTGACTTATCGGAGGGAAAAAATAAAATTAAGTGATGAAGGGAAGAGCTCAGATGCCAAATAAAATGTGTATTATTTTAAAATTAAGACAAA